GTTTTCGCCGTCGGTTCGGTCGGTGGTCGGTTGTGGTATCGCCGTGGACGGCCTTGCCTTCGGCGGAATGAACTCTGGTGCGCGGGTTTGGGGGGCCTGAGGGCGAAGCCCAAGCACACAAGCCGCCACAGTCGCACCGCAGGCAACGATTGGGGAGCCGCGCACCAGAGGCCGCTCTTGTCTAGGACCTGGGGTCACACTTGCGTTTCAGCAGCCCCTCCTCCTTCTCGGCTCCCAGCATTGCCTCTTTGCTTGTCAGGCTGCTGCGGCTGCCACTCCTCCTGCTTCCCTCTGTTTTTTGTTGTCAAGTCCGGGAATCCCGATGATTAGGGGCACGTCAGTCAGTCAGTCCTCCACCTCGGAAAGGGAGAGAGAGAGAGAGAGAGAGTGATAAGAAAAAGAGAAAATAGAGAGAGAGGAAAAAAAAGAGAAAGAGAGAGAGAGAGAGACAGACAGACAGACAGACAGACAGACAGACAGACAGACAGACAGACAGACAGACAGACAGGCAGGCAGGCAGGCAGGCAGGCAGGCAGACAGACAGACAGACAGACAGACAGACAGAGAACGGCATACGTAGAGTGAGAGGGCAGGGAGCGCGCGTCAGCCGCGTGTGGCGTTCGTCAAGATGGTTCGGCGCCTGGCCTTGGAAGATGCCAGAACAACGCGTTGAATCGTAATCCTGCCACCACCACCAGGGCTGGCCACCAGTCTTTACCATTCAGGCATTCGCGCTCAAGTCCAGCCCGAAGGGGGGAGAAACGGAGGGAGCGGGGCAGATCAGGGGAGCAAGATACGCAGTGTTTGTGGTGTATGGTGTGCGAGGGCAACATTCGGTGCGATCGAAATTGGTACAGAAAGACGGGCACGAAGTTCGACAGCAGTTCTTGCCTTTTTTTGTACAGGATTCGTTGTCGGTGTCGCCGCGGACGTTGTCCGTTCGAGACAAAGAGACGCCTGCCTAACAGCGGCCACTGTCGGTGTTTGGCCACCTGTGTTGTAGGGAAACGTACACATGTCTTCCGTACCCACTTCGGGCGCCCAGAAAGCCAAGGAAAGTTAAAGAAATGTTAAGTTAAGGGGTATCACGCGGAGAACGAACTCTTGGCCCAGGGCCGTCGAAGATCCACAAGCCCACCCCGAGAACGAACCCTTCCCCGGAGCGAGACAGGGGCCCATATGTCCCGACTCTTAGCCAGTTTTCCACCCCGAGCCGTTGTTTGATTGTCAAGGGGTCCAGCGAGAGACCCCCTGCACGGCGAGAGAACTCCGCACTTGATTTCTCAAGACGTTGGAGGTCTGGGGGCAGTGGAGGCGTGGGCGGGCACCCTTTGGAGTCAAGGGAGGGCAACTGGAGAGTCTACACGACAGGTCTTGTATTGAACAGTCTTACCATGTGCAGCTTCTTCCTGTTGTACATGTGTCGCCGCGCCGTATGTGGGGAATCTAGCCCACAGGTCCACCCCGCAGCTCGGTTGCGCGGCGCCCAGATTGCGCAGGTGTGCCTCGCGGCTAGGGGTGCCCTTCCAGCCCGCCTGTGCGCAGAAGGATTCCGTGCCGCAGGCTAAGGCGTCACGTACCTGGCCTGGCCTTCCTCAGGCACCTCAAGTCTAGCACGCCGGGCCTACGGGCCCCACCTGACAGTGTCCTTGGGCGCCCGTGACGGCTCGCAAGGGGTCTCCCCTCCCAGGTAGGCCCCCTGCGCCTCTATTCGCACGTGCACCGATCAGATGCCGCCTTCTGCGCGCTGCCCCCCATGTGGCGCGCCCTCCCTCTCCTTTCCTTCGGGCGCGTCCACCCCCCCCGGTGGATCTGCCCCTTCCTTCCTGACTCGAGCGCCCGCCCCCCCCCTGTGGGCACTGTCACTGGAGGTTGCGCGCCTCGACTGAAGCGCCCACCCCTCCAGGTGGGCGCTCCCACAGTATGTGCACCGATCAGGCGCGGGAGTCCAAGGGGTGGTCAGTGGCAGGGTCGCTGTGCTCATTGCTGGCGCGGCTTCCTCGGCCAGCCGGGGGGTCCTGGGCGGGGCCTCTGTGCCGCCTCCGGTGGCACGCCCCGCCGTTGCCGAGGCGCTAGCTCGGCTCCGCCGGGTCACCTGCCCCGCTGCCCATATTGCTGGGCGCCCGCGCTTGGCCGGTTCCGCGGGCGGGCGTCTCGGAGGCCTCCCGGTTGTGTTGTTTGCACCGGCTGGGTAGGCCGCTTTCCCCGCCCCAGCCCCGCTTCTCTTGAAGCTGGGCCCCCGCCCCGCCAGCCCTGTGTCTGGGCGTTCCCGCCACACTGGCTGTGATGCGTGCACCGACCGGGCTCGGCTTTCCTCCTCTCGCCGCCCTGCCACTGCCTGGGCGTTTCTGGCGGCGCTTGGCGGCTCCTCGCCGCCAACCGCCACCTCTGCAGGTCGTACCTTGCTCAGCAGCCCCCCGCGTTTGGCAGCTCTGCTGGCTGCCCTCAGTGGCATTGCAGCCAGCAGTCGTGCAGTACGGCCCTCAGCAGCTCAGCGCGGCAGTTTAGCAGCATGTTGTTGCTGCGAGCCATTCGCTGGCCAGCCCGCGTTGCCGCCAGCCTTCCCACATCCCGCTGCCGCAGTACTGCAGCAATGCTTGTCACTCACGGATTTGCGACGCACGCTCTGATGCTACCCGCCTCGGTGGTCTCACTCGCCGCTCCCTTCCTGTGTTGGCTCGACTTGCTCCACGCTTTCAGCGCCTGCAGCCTTTGCCTCAGCCCCTGGCTGTGGGCGCGATGCCGCTCCACGTCCGTTGCCAGGACGCCTCAGCAATGGCCAGCCGCTCCAGACACTCCTGCCGAAGCTCTTCGTGCGGTGAGTGTCCTCCGCCTTCTCCCCCTCTCGCGCCGCCGGACAATTAGTATGCCTCGCCCGGGCTACTAGAGCGCGCGTGCGGATTGCCTCTGCCGCGCTGCGACGAAAAGGTGTGTCACCGCGCCATTTGTTCCGACGGACGGCCGTACGTCTTGGGGAGGGCGCCGCGGCCACCAGGGCAAACGCCGCCTCGGACGCGGTGGGCTTGCCGTGGGGTTTGCCGCGGTGCCGGCGTCGTCTACCTGGGCCCAAGGCGCAGGGCTTACCGTGGGTTTACCGTGGTGTCGGCGTCGTCCACCTGGGCGCGTCGAGAACAAATGGTGCCGCGACAAGTGCCTCTTCTTACTGTGGTGCATGTGCTGAGGGGCCTCGCTTGCAAGGATGATTTTTGCTGGGGGTGGTCCCTCTGCCCATGACGGAGGGGCGCTGCCGCAGCAGCGCCACCGACTCCAGTTCTTCACACTCCTCCTCTTCCTCCTCCTCTTCCTCCTGATCCTACTCCTTCTCCTCCTCCCCCCCCTCCTCTTCCTCCTCAAACATTTCAGACCTCCGATACTTGTTGTTTTTTTGTTTCCAACACGGGGGCCCCAAAGCTCCGGTTTGTCGTCCCTGGTCGTATTTTGACAGTCCCCGGCCCAGGGCTAGTGAGGGCTCCAGGAGGCCGAAAGTGACCAAGAAACTCGAGTCGTGATTTGTTCGCACCGAGCATTGAGAATGGGAAGGAAGGCGAGGAGGCGGAGGAGGAGGAGGAGGAGGAGGAGGTGGAGGATTCCGAGTTCTGCGAAGCGGTGTGGGTTTCTTGTCCTGGTGGGTGGTGTTGTTGCTGACGTTGTCTGCCCACGGCCCACATGCGACCCGCCGACTGACGAATCGCCAGCGACTCACGCCCGATGCGGCCTTCGCCCGCCGCGACCCGCGCTCACCGCGCTCCAACCCTTCAGTGATCGTCCTCCTCCTCCTCATCCACCTCCTCCTCCTCCTACTCCGCCTCCTCCTCCTCCTCGGGCTTTGACCTCCCCACCCGCGTCCTCCTCCTCCTCCTCCTCCTCCTCCTCCTTCACTCCTTTTCCTTATAAGGAACTTCTCCCTGTCGCACCCCGAAGCAAGTTTTTAGTGCGGGCCGGGCGTTTCGCCTGAGACTTCCCCACCATTTGTGATTCTGAAGCTTTCCAAAAAGTTGGCAACAGTTTCACAGATGGAGTGCGGGTCTTTTTCAAAATGTTGCTCTCGCCTTAGCGCCGCGCACGTCTTCTAAAAAAATGCGAGAGCTGCACGGATTGAGGATCACCCGTTTTCAAAATGTGGTTGTCGCCTTCGCGCCGCGCACATACAATTTGCAAGAGTTTCACGAATTGAGGATCACCCGTTTTCAAAATGTGGTTGTCGCCTTAGCGCCGCGCACATTCGTTTTAAACATTTGCAAGAGCTTCCCGGATTGAGGGTGGTTCTTTGTCAAAATGTGGTTGTCGCCTTAGCGCCGCGCACATTCGTTGACAAAACTTGCAAGAGTTTCACGGAGTCCTACGATCAGCGTACCAGAACTAGTGTTTTGGAAAGGTTCAGCGTTTTGCTGGCGCAACAGTTACGTTGATTCGCGGTGTTGAAATCCCAAGATTGGCGTTCTGGCGCGATCCAGGATCGTCAAGACGACGCAACAGTCAGGTTGATCCATGGCGTTGGAATCCCGAGAAGAATGTTTCGGCATGTTTCCGGGTCTTCTAATGGATGTCTTCCAACGAGGCAGATCCCTCAATGGGTATGTACCGTTGGAGTTTGGAGGGAGGGTGTATTCCAACATCGTTGATGGCTCTTGGGTTTACACTGGTCCTCCTCCTCCGCCCTCCTCCTCCTCCTACTCCAGCTCCTCGGGCTTTGACCTCCCCACCCGCGCCCCTCCTCCTCCTCCTCCTCCTCCTCCTCCTCCTCCTCCTCCTCCTCCTCCTCCTCCTTCTCCTCCTCCTCTCCTCCTCCTCCTCTCTCCTCTCCTCCTCCCCCTCCTCCTCCTCCCTCCTCCTCCTCCCTCCTCTCCTCCTCCTCCTCCTCCTCCTCCTCCTCCTCCTCCTCCTCCTCCTCCTCCTCCTCCTCCTCCTCCTCCTGCTCCTCCTCCTCCTCCTCGTCCTCCTTTTCCTCCGGCGCCGCCTCCTTCGCCTCTGGGCCCCCCTCTGGAGGGTGACGGGGCCAGGCGTTGCCGTAGCAGCACCACGGACGACAGCAGCTCCGCCGCCGCCTCACCAGCAGGGGGTTCGCGCGGCGGCGGCGTCGCCCGCCGGGGCGGCTCCGCGTTCTGCCAGGACCCTGCCGCCGCGGCGGGCTGGAGTCGCCTCGGGGCGCGGGTGGGGAGGCCGAAGTTCGACGAGGAGGAGGAGAAGGAGGAGGAAAAGGAAGACGAGGAGGAGGAGGAGGAGGAGGAGGAGGAGGAAGACGAGGGGAGGAGGAGGAGGAGGATGAGGAGGAGGAGGAGGAGGAGGAGGAGGAGGAGGAGGAGTGGCGCGGGTGGGGAGATCGAAGCCCGAGAAGGAGGAGGAGGAGGAGGCGGAGTAGGAGGAGGAGGAGGAGAAAGAGGAGAAGCAGGAGAAGGGCCAGAGCAAGTCCAAGATGCATCAGCGATACTACAATACGCCCCCCCCCCTCCCGTCACAAGTCAAGTCCCCCCCTCATACGTCCCCCTCTCCTTCTCACTACTTACGCAATTGGGCTTGCCATCTTGATGTGGGTGCCCGCGTTGGAAAGGAACTGCCTTGCATCCTTTCGGCACATAGCCAGGAACACGAAAAACGTTGATCCGACAGCTCAACGAGATGCCCAGTGAGATCCCCCTTCGAAGAAGGACCCCTCCATCCGTGTCACGGCTGCACCCATTTTCTGGTGTGCCCATGGACTTCGAGATATTTCCCAGCACGAGCTACAGTTTGAAAAAGAGTCGCCCTGTTTACGTGAAGTGCTACACGCATTGAAATTCCTGGCCCTGTAGTACCAGCGAAGTCGCGAGCGAATACCCATTGAAAAAAAGAGCCGTCCTCCATTCTTTTCAATAAAAACGACGTGTGGTCCATCTTGGTAATGGACGCAAGAGTTCGAGACGAATGCGCGTGGCGTTCAGGCAAGCGCACCACTTTGAAAAGGAATCGCCCTCCCCCGATCGTCCCAACGTATGCTGCACATTTTTTAAACGAAATCGCGCGGCGCTAAGGTGAGGTATCAGTTTGAAAACTACCCCCAGTCTATCCTTGAAATTGCTTCAAACTTGCAGGGCAAATGTGCGCGGCCCTTTTCAAACCGACCTGTGCTCCACCCACGCAACTGTTGCAACATGTGGCGACGAATTCGCGCGGCGCCAAGGCGAGAACCAGATTTAGAAAAGGAACCGGCTTCCATCCCTGAAGTTGATACAAATCTTTATGAAGACAAGCAGGCGAGGCGCGCAGGCGACAGCCACATTTTGAAAACGGCCAGTGCTCCATCCTTACACCTGTTGCAAGATTTTGTGGAGCACGCGCGTGGCGCTCAGGTGAGAGACGTGATTTAAACGACCCCCCTCCAGATTTGCAACTGTTGCAAAATTCAACGACGAATGCGCGCGGCGTTCTGAAGAAGACTCGTGCTCTATCTTCTGGCATGGGCCAGGGCTTAAGCAGCCGATGTGCGTGACAGCCGTTATTGGCAACCACGCTGCCCAGTCTCCCCCCTCGTCCTCTTCCTCCTCCCTCTGCACGGAAAGCGCACGGGCAATAATTGTCACGGGTAAATTGGTGGTGCCACTATGTTGGCGCCCTGCGTGTCTCTCCCATTCCAGATTCTAGAATTTGGGTCTTGCACGTATTTCCCACCCGATGGGTGAGGAAGAAAGCGGTTTTCGAGTGCAACCGCTTTCTCGTCCGTGCCGTGCCTCCCCAGCCGCGTCAAGATGTCTTATAGCTTGGCCTTCGGTGCGTGGCGGCACCCGAGTTTTGATGCTGGTTGTTGAAGCATGTTGTCCGTTCCCATCTTCTCTCTGCCCCAAAAGATGTTGCAAACCCATACACACACAAAATCAAGAATGTGCGAGACGCTAGGGCAAAAGCACCATTTTGAAGACGACATCCCTCCAGACTTATAACTGCTGAAAAAGTTAACGGCGAATGTGCGGGACGCTACGGCGAGAGCCACAGTGTGAAACCGATGGGCGATGCATCTTTAATAACTGTTCCAGATTTCCCAAACGCATGCGCGAGGCGCTAAGGCGAGAGCCACATTTTGAAAACGACCCCTGTCCATCCTTGAGCTGCTGCCAGTACAAAGCTCAGGTCTCAGGCGATGCGCCCGGCCCGCCCTACCGACACGCCTTGGGACGCGGCAGGGAGGAAGTACTCATCAGGTAAAAAGACGGAGGAGGAGGAGGAGGAGGAGGCGGAAGCGATGGAGGAGGAGGAGAAGAAGGAAGACCCAGACCTCAATGCAAGAAAGGCGCGACGCGAGGTTTGGGCAAATGCTCGGCCTCAGGGGGCCCTCGCCGGAACCCTGGGGCCATCAAAGAGCGGCTCGGGATGAGAAGCCAGTCTTTGGTCGGAGGCGACGATAAGGGCGAATAGCCCAGAGGCGGGCATTACACGTAGTCACCCCGGAGTCTCGCCGAAGCATGGACCATCGGCGCCCTTGGGTACATGTATTGCTTTCCCCTGGGCTATTCGCCCCCATCGTCGCCCCCGATTTGGGAAGAGGCCCAAACCTCTGGAGGTGGAACGCGACAAGGGCTGAGGAGGTCTGGGGACGCCGCGGGGAGCGGGGAGGTTCGAAAGTCCAGGTTTTCGGTTGCGTTCGTTGGCTCCAGGAGGTCTTCCGGCCAGGTGCGTTTCGGCAGCCGCGGAAGGCGGCGGAAGGTCGGCGGAAGGCCGCGAAAGTAAAACGAGGGCGCTCCGAAGCCCAGGCGGGAGTTTAACAAGCCCCCTTGCCTTCTAAGAGGCCTCTCCGCCTTCGTTGGAGCCCACCCCCCTGTCGCCACCCCCTTGCGGGCGCCGTCAAGCGAAAGGAAGCTTCCAGGCCGCCTGTTCGGAGGAGGAGCACCTGACGGAAGTCGCCATGAAGGAAGGGGCCCAGTGCTCTGGCGATTTGTTTTTCAGTCGCGGCTTGTTCCCCCTCGTGTCGTGCTCCGAGTGCTGTCGTGGAGTCCTGGGACCATCAAGAATGGGTCCTGTATGAAAAAATGTGTCCGAGGAAGGCGGTCGGGAGAGCTGGTGCCGCGGATTGAAAAACAGATTCGCCTTCAGCATCGTCATCATCAGCATCAGCATCATCAGCAGCATCATCATCAACAGCATCATCATCACCAGCAGCATCATCATTGTCATCGTAATCGGCAGCATAATCATCATCATCATCATCATCATCATCATCATCATCATCAGCATCATCATCATCATCATCAGCATCAGCATCAGCATGAGCATGAGCATGAGCATGAGCATCATCATCAGCATCAGCATCAGCATCAGCATCATTATCATCAGAATATACATCATCATCACCCTCATCCTCATCATCATCATCATCAGCATCATCATCGTCATCGCCATCATACTAATAGTCATCAACATCATCAGCAGCAGTATCAGTATCGTCATCGTTATCATACTCATCAGCATCATCATCATCACCATAACCATAGCCCCACGCAGCCATGACCATAACCATCATCATCCCAAGTTTGGGCAGCCTGAGGCGTTTCGCAATTTCGGGGGGCTCCTGGGTCAAACGACGGTTCGGAATGTTAAATTGAGATCCCAAGGAAAGCCTCAGGGGTCTTGTACGCACTTCCCTCTGGACCTCTCCTCCCCAGACCTCCGACGTAGCGTCTTCTTCCGAAGCGTGCCCCCCCGGAGGTCTTGACCTCTGCTCCCGGAGCCGGCCTCTCATCCCGAATCGTTGTTTGACCGTCCCGTGGTTATTCAGGAACCCCAGGGGCCCAAGAATGACAAAAGTTGCTCGCCGCGATGTCGTCGCAACGAGAGGAGGCCTTGGTCCACGCCAGGGAGAAATGTCGTGCCGTCGCGGTGTGGCGGCAGCACGGGCGGCGCGCGGCCGCTTCAGGGTTTGCTGGCGATGGTTCGAAGTCGAGCGCTTCCACGCGAAGAAAGCCAGGACACTAAAAAGAAACCAACCACAACAACAAACAAAACACGCACACACAACAAAAAAAACGAAAGAAGCATGACATACATATATATAGAGAGAGAGAGAGAGAGTAAAAATCAAACAGAAAAAAAAGAATCGAAAATGTAACAAACAATTCATGGCTGGAGCCTGCCGTTGGTCGCGCACGCGGGCGCGCGAAGGCGGTCGGGCTCCGTGCTTCGCGCTGAGCTGGGCTGCAGAAGCCGAGGCGGCCCTCTGGCCACGCAGGCCACGCGAGCCGTAAGAAGGAGGAGCGGCACCACAACCACCACCGGCAGGGCAAGCGCCGAGGCCCACGAGCCGAAGGCAAGTATCATGTTAGCCACTTTGGATCCCAAACTGTGTTTGTTAGCAGTACTACGTGGCGCAAAATATGTAGAGCAATCTACGTTGTGTAGTTTATATGGTGCAGTTGATTTTTACCCACGAGTTGACACATCCCATGCTCTTGCAAACATCCCACCCACCCACCCGCAACTTGGTTTGCAAAACCCATGCGGTGGCGATTGCGATGCATGCTTGGTGTTGGCTGATGAATTTCTGCGGCCGCGCCAACCCTAGCACGCGCGCGCAGCGGCCAGCTGGTTTGGCACCACCGACGCGGCCGCGGTGGCGTTGACCGCTGGGCGCATCCCAGCGGGCACTTCACTGCGAGTCGGCGACTTGGGCGGGCGCGGTATCATGGCAATGCCGACTACAGTAGACGCGATGATGATGATAGTGGCGATGTTGGTGACGATGTACGCATCGACGAAGGCACCGCCAATGCGGGCGCCGATGCTGATCCTTCCGACGACGATGACGGCGCCCTCGCGTCGGTGATGAAGGTTTTGGAACGAGTTCGACATGCACGCGCGGCCGACGCGCGAGAGTGGCCTTCATGGTTCTATTTGGCACAGATCGTGCCCCCCTTAGCACGCGCCCCAGGGCGTGCGAATGGTGTCGGCATGCTGCGCCAGAGGCCCGTTTGGCTGAATGCTACGAAAAGTATGAAAACAACTTATAAGTTTAGAGCGCGCGCGCAAGCTGTTTTTGAAAACGAGTGTTGCGAAACCTTGGGTTTTGAATGTGTTTTGAACATTTGGTTTTGGAATCGTTGCGAAACCGACAGTTCTTGAAGGATTCCGGCATGCGCGCGCGACGA